GTCCTCCGCAGCGGAGCCAGGCGGGCGGTCTTCCCAGAGCCCGCCGGAAGGTTTACCGCGCCTGCGCACATCGTCTCCCTGACATCACAGCCTCTGGACCCCGCAAGGTGCAGATGACGCTTGCGCACACCATCCCCATTAAGTCGGGACCGCCCCGTCCACAGGTAAGCGACTGCGCCTGCGCAGGGAGCAGCTGCCGGAAGCGGCCGTCCGCCCCCCTGCTTCCGGTTTGGTGGCGGCGCCTGCGATTTCAGGTCAGGTAGGAGGCTCTTGCGTTGTGGCGGGGAGGGGCCTTGGATTCCGGGGAGGGCCTAGAGGTGAGGCGAAGGCAGGACAAGTGTTGCCGAGGAGGCAGGGGCCGTGTCTCGTCTTCTCAGTCCACAAACGCTGTGGTCTTGAGAGTTCAGGTTTCTCCTTGGTCCTTCGGTTCACCCGCCGGCGTCCCCAGGTGAGGGGGCGTCGATGCCCTGGCCACGCGCTGAGTTAGAAGCCCCGTCTCGGCTTCAAGGTGCTTGCTCGGGACCCCACCCTTGGGACGTGGGGCGAGGGAGTGTAGTGCCTTTGACTCTCAACAATCGTGTTGGCTGCTTGAATTACCAAGATTCTGGCGCCCACCCTGCCAACTGGGGACCCTCGTACGCAGTTGATGGGAGTAATGTGGGCCCTTCAGTGATTTTGCACGGGAGTCTGGCCTGAGGGATATGAGCGACTGTGGGCTTGGAGGGAATGCTTGTTTCTCTATTTACACTGGTTTTTTTCTCACGACTAATTCCTTTCTCCTGAGGTTCTTCCAGAATATCACAAAGTGCTGTGAAAGGTGGCTATTGTAATCCCTTTTGTCTTGTCGAGGGTTGTACAGTCACTTTCTCTCCAATAAAATAGCGTTGACTCCTCTCCCATATTCACAGGATAAAACCTCGCTAGTTTGTTTTGTTTTCACTTCAGGACGATCTAGGCAGCAGTTGAATGGATGATGAGTCATTATTAATATTAATTCTTGTATTCATTCTCTTAAGAGCTTTGCTTGGTACTTTGTAATATTTATGTTTTCAGTGTTTTTTTTTTTTTTTGAACCAAAAAACACTATAGTACTGAAATCAGTCAGGGGCTTATTAAATGTCATATACTACGTTAAGCATCTTATGTAAATTGTCAGATGTCATCCTAATTTACATGTAGCTATCAACCTCACTTCACACTTAAGGAAACTTAGAGAAGTTAAATAGAGAAATTAAATAGTGCGTCATATCACACAGCTAATAAGTGTTAGACCTCACACTTAAACTCGGATTTATTGGACTTCTGAGCCCTAAGCACAAACTTGTTTGTTTTGCTTTTTCACAAATCAAAAGCATCAGCTAAGATGCTCAGATTCCAAAAAATAAGAGTGTGTCAAAAAGCAGTGGAAATACTAATATTTGACTTTTTGTACAGTTTTCATAAGTAAAAATTTTCAAAGTGTGTATTTTTATATTAATTTTGGAATCTTGGTTATCTATGTGACAGCCTCAGGACCATGTATAGATCTGCGTCATTATGTGGTTCTCACCGCTCCTGTAATTTGAGTCCTTGCCTGGGACTTTCTCAGGGAAACTGACTTTGAGTTCGTGGTAGAATCTACAGATAGACCAGAACCCGTACACCAGACGAGCATTCAAAGAAGTGCTTCTCAACATACTTCATTTTATACATATTGTGTATGAATTGTGAACAGGGCGTTGTGTGTCATAATGTGCTGGGTTGAGGGAGCGGGTCTAACCAGGTGGTGCAGTCAGTTATGCAAATGAGACAGCAAGGGGAAGCCAGCTCTGGTATTCAAAGGCAAAAGACTCAGCATTGTGGTCTTCTCCTGGCCTCACTGACTGGGTAGAAGTTGGGTTTCCTTTGCCAGGAATTTGACTGAGAAGGGAGGCTGTTTTTGCCTATTGGCCCCCAAATGGATGTTGTTCACCTTCCCCAAAGTGGTTATGACTGCTGAATGTTTTAACCAAACACCCCACCACTTCTGTGTTTGTGTGGGTGTGTGATCAGCTCCTGGCTTGCCCTGGTGTGGTTTTCCAGGAACTCAGCTCCACGTTTCAGTAATTCATTCAACAAACCGATGAACTCCTATGTGCCAATTATGTGGTACAAATTACACCAAATTCTAACCTCCAGAGACTGACAGTTTAGTAAATGTGGTATGGTGATTGATTCCTTGTGCCAACTGCTAGGTTACGTGGCCTTGTGCTAACATTGTAAGATTCCCTTTTGTTTCCTGGGGTAGGGAATCTCCTGGACTCGGTACCACAAGGGATCTCCCCACTCCTGGAAGCAGCTCTGGCTCCCTGCCCTCTGAGCTACTCGAGAACTTGCCAAGAAGTGTCTGAAGCTATAAGATAAGGCATTCTTCAGATTCTTAGAGTACACATTTTACTTAAATCTTTTTTGGGAAAGTGAAAGAGGAGAGTGAAAAAGTTGGCTTAAAGCTGAACATTCAGAAAACTAAGATCATGGCTTCTGGTCCCATCACTTCATGGCAAGTAGATGGGGAAACAGTGGAAACAGTGGCTGACTTTATTTTTTGGGGCTCCAAAATCACTGCAGATGGTGATTGCAGCCATGAAATTAAAAGACACGTACTCCTTGGAGGGAAAGTTATGACCAACCTAGACAGCATATTAAAAAGCAGAGACATTACTTTGTCAGCAAAGGTCTGTCTAGTCAGGGCTATGGTTTTTCCAGTAGTCATGTATGGATGGATGTGAGAGTTGGACTATGAAAGCTGAGCACCAAAGAATTACTGCTTTTGAACTGTGGTGTTAGAGAAGACTCTTGAGAGTCTCTTGGACTGTAAGGAGATCCAACCTATCCATCCTGAAGGAGATCAGTCCTGGGTGTTCATTGGAAGGACTGATTTTGAAACTGAAACTCCAATACTTTGGCCACCTGATGGGAAGAGCTGACTCATTGGAAAAGACCCTGATGCTGGGAAAAATTGAGGGCAGGAGGAGAAGGGGGTGACAGAGGATGAGATGGTTGGATGGCATCACCGACTCAATGGACATGGGTTTGGGTAGACTCCTGGGGCTGGTGATGGACGGGGAGGCCTGGCGTGCTGCGGTTCATGGGGTCACAGAGTCAGACACGACTGAACAACTGAACTGAACTGAGTATATTTTAGTGTTACATAGTTTAAACCATATTAAAATAGTTCTGTTATAGAGTTTAATAGAACATGAACGAATATTTAAAGCTTCAAAGTAATTTTATGCTTGTGGCAAACACTTTAGCAAATATTCTAGACCCTAGTCCAGCAAGGTGGCCATTTTTTCCTATGACTTCATTTTTTTTTTATTAATTTTTTAGAGAACTTCTTGCTGGTACAGTCATTTCATTAAAATACTTCTGGCATATAGACACACATGACAAATCACAACCTGAAACTCCATCCTCTATAAAGAACCTCAAAGAACAGTACAGTGGTGTAGCATAACCCATGTGGAACTTCTGTAGTAATTTTTGATATCCCCAAAGTGCAAAAATAGCTAGCATTTACATAGCCCATACTGTGTGCCAACTACTATTTTAAGTACTTTACATATATATGATAACTCATCACAACCCTATGAGGAAAGTACAAGATAGTTACTCCATTTACAGATGAAGAAGCTGAGCCAGAGATCAAGCAGTTTGCCTAAAGTCACATCGGTTACTTAGGCTCTCAGGTCTTTGTTCTTAGAGTTGATTAATGTGGAGCCTTTGGCCAGTGATCTTTATTATTTTTTAAAAATGAATTTTGCTTTAAAGATACACTTAAGACTGCTTTATGTTTATTTGTACTTAGGTGGTGGTGGTGGTATCTGGCTCTTGCAACCTCATGGACGGTAGCCCACGGGCTCCTCTGTCCATGGGATTTCCCAGGCAGGAATACTGGAGTGGGTTGCCATTTACTTCTCCACCTCAGTGACTTTAGAAGATTCTGCAGTGAGAAGCTCTGTCTCATGGCATTTTACTTTTGTTATGTTTTTATTAAAGCAATTAGCACTCTACAATCATTCCCATAGCATCCTCTTTTCATTACAGAATGTGCACCTAAAGCAGAAGCACACTGTATTTACCCGTAGCACAGTATCTAGCCCATATGTAGTCAGCAGGTGGTTTGAGGATTACTGGCATGAGAATATGAGCCAAAAAGCTGTGCTAATGAATTTAAATATGTGAAACTGTATGAACTATGATGCTAGAATTGAGAGATAGGTAAAGTTAGAATTTTATGGGGAGGGTATTTTGATTTGGGCTTTGGCTGCCAGAGTGACTTGTCAGAGCAGTGAAGTGATAGTGAACAATCATAGACTTTGTCAGGAAGGAGAGGGTGCTTATTTGGAGGGGAAGGGGTCTGGATTATCTATGCACAAGGTCAGTTCAGCCACATTTCAATTCAGTGAACCAGTGATTTGGTAAAAACATGATTTTAAGAAGTTTTTTTCCTACATATAATGGATAAACAACACGGTCCTCCTGTATAGCACAGGGAACTATATTCAATATCCTGTGATAAACCATAATAAAAAAAAGGAAAAAATTACATACACACATATATATGTATAATTGAATCACTTTGCTCTGCAGCAGAAATATACACAGCGTTGTAAATCAGCTATAATAAAAAATGAGCTAAAATGTGAAAAATTGTTTGTAAAAAAAAAAAAAAGATTGTTTCTGATGCTGTATGATGGTGGTCTGAAAGAAAAAGAAGAGAAATACAAGAAAAGACCTCAGGAGCCCAGAAATGAACTGGGATTGAAGCAAAATAGTTGATTATCATTCACTATAGAGGTTGCAAAGAGATGTCATTTATAGCATTGATCTGTTTTCATTTAATAAATGTTACTGAACATTTATTATAAACCACACACTCTCTATAAGGTCTTTACATTAAATATTTAGTTGAGTTTTATCTTTTAAAGTTACTCTCTTTTTGCTTTACCAGATAAATCAGAAGATTCACCATTGCTTCTATGGCTGCCTCACAAACCTCACAGACTGTTGCATCTCATGTTCCTTTTGCAGATTTATGTTCAACTTTAGAACGAATACAGAAAAGTAAAGGGCGTGCAGAAAAAGTCAGACACTTCAAAGAATTTTTAGATTCTTGGAGAAAATTTCACGATGCCCTTCATAAGAACCAAAAAGATGTCACAGATTCTTTTTATCCAGCCATGAGACTTATTCTTCCTCAGCTGGAAAGAGAGAGAATGGCCTATGGAATCAAAGAAACTATGCTGGCTAAGCTTTATATTGAATTGCTTAACTTGCCTCGAGATGGAAAAGATGCCCTTAAACTTTTGAACTACAGAACACCGACTGGAACCCGTGGAGACGCTGGAGACTTTGCGATGATTGCATACTTTGTATTGAAACCCAGATGTCTACAGAAAGGAAGCCTAAGCATTCAGCAAGTAAATGACATTTTAGACTCCATCGCCAGCAATAATTCTGCCAAAAGGAAAGACTTAATGAAAAAGAGTGTTCTTCAGCTTATAACTCAGAGTTCAGCACTTGAACAAAAGTGGCTGATACGGATGATTGTTAAGGACCTAAAGCTTGGCTGTAGTCAGCAAACTATATTTTCTGTTTTTCACAGTGATGCTGCCGAGTTGCATAATGTCACCACAGATCTGGAGAAGGTATGTAGGCAACTGCACGATCCTTCAGTGGGACTCAGTGACATTTCCATCACCTTATTCTCTGCCTTTAAACCCATGCTGGCCGCTATAGCAGATATCGAGCGAATTGAGAAGGACATGAAACACCAGAGTTTCTACATCGAAACCAAGCTGGACGGCGAGCGGATGCAGATGCACAAGGATGGGGATGTGTACCGGTACTTCTCTCGCAATGGGTATAACTATGAAGACCAGTTTGGTGCTTCCCCACAGGAAGGGTCCCTCACACCATTCATTCATAATGCATTCAAAATAGATGTGCTGAACTGTATCCTCGATGGTGAGATGATGGCCTACAACCCTAACACACAGACTTTTATGCAAAAAGGGAATAAGTTTGATATCAAAAGAATGGTGGAAGATTCTGAGCTGCAGACTTGTTATTGTGTTTTTGATGTGTTGATGGTTAATGATAAAAAGCTAGGACATGAGACCCTGAGAAAGAGGTATGAAATTCTTAATAGTGTTTTCACACCCATACCAGGTAGGATAGAAATAGTGCAGAAAACACAAGCTCATACCAAGAAAGAAGTGATTGATGCTTTGAATGAAGCGATAGATAAAAGAGAAGAGGGGATCATGGTAAAACACCCACTGTCCATTTACAAGCCGGATAAAAGAGGTGAAGGATGGTTAAAAATTAAACCAGAGTATGTCAATGGACTGATGGATGAGCTGGACATCTTAATCATTGGGGGCTACTGGGGGAAGGGTGCCCGGGGTGGGATGATGTCTCATTTTTTGTGCGCTGTGGCAGAGAAGCCCCCTTCTGGTGAAAAACCCTCAGTGTTTCATACTCTGTGTCGCGTTGGCTCAGGTTACACCATGAAAGAACTGTATGACCTGGGTTTGAAGTTGGCCAAACACTGGAAGCCTTTTCATAGGAAAGCCCCACCAAGCAACATTCTATGTGGAACAGAGAAGCCAGAGGTGTACATCGAGCCTTGCAGTTCAGTCATTGTTCAGGTTAAGGCCACAGAGATCGTCCCCAGTGACATGTATAAAACCGGCTGCACGTTGCGTTTTCCACGGATTGAGAAGATAAGAGAAGACAAAGAATGGTACGAATGTACATCCCTGGAGGACTTAGAGCAACTTCGAGGGAAAGCCTGTGGAAAGCTCGCATCCAAACACCTTTACATGGGTGGCGATGACGAACCACAAGAGAAAAAGCGGAAAGCTGCCCCAAAGATGAAGAAAGTCATTGGAATTATCGAGCACCTAAAAGCTCCCAACCTTTCTAACATAAACAGGGTTTCTACTGTGTTTGAAGACGTGGAGTTTTGTGTCATGAGTGGAACCAGCAGCCATCCCAAGCCTGACCTGGAGAACAGAATCGCCGAACTGGGTGGTTACATAGTACAGAATCCAGGCCCAGACACGTACTGTGTGATCGCAGGGTCTGAGAACATTCGAGTGAAGAATATCATCTCTTCAGATAAACATGATGTCGTCAAGCCAGAGTGGCTGCTAGAGTGTTTTAGGACCAGAAGCTGTGTGCCCTGGCAACCCAACTTCATGATCCACATGTGCCCGTCAACAAAGCAGCACTTTGCCCAGGAATACGACCAATATGGGGATAGTTACTTTGTTGACACAGATTTGCACCAACTGAAGGAAGTGTTTTCAGGAATTAAAAATGCTGGTGAGCAGACTCCTGGGGAGATGAGTCCTGTGATTGCTGATTTGGAACACAGGTATTCCTGGGCCAGTGCACCTCTTAGCTTGTTTAGACACCACACCATTTATTTGGACTTGTACGCTGTCATCAATGACTTAAGTACCAGAATCAAGGGAGCTAGGTTAGCCATCACAGCCTTGGAACTTCGATTTCATGGAGCGCAGGTAGTTTCTTGTTTGGCTGAGGGGGTATCTCACGTGATTGTTGGGGAGGAGGACCAGAGTCGGGTTGCAGACTTGAAAGCTATCCGAAGGACTCTTAAGAGGAAGTTTAAAATCTTACAAGAACGTTGGGTCACTCTGTCAATAGACAAGTGTGATTTACAGGACGAAAATCGATATTTGGTCTGAAGCTGGCTTTCCTAGTGAGGCAAGCCTCAGATCTGACCAACTCATTACAACAGATTATCATGATAAAATGTTAAACTATGTTTTATTTTCATCTTTTAAAAATCTGCGTAAAAAGTATTACTAGATACAGTCATCATAACTTTAGATACAGAAAAGACACCCAGTAGCCCAATGTCAAGAAAGAAAATTTTTTAGCAGTGTGGTAAGTATTTCATTATTTTTATGACCAAGATGAAATAAAAAGTTTAACATTATAGTATCCTTATACAAATATAAAATTTTGACTCATATTAACAGAATAGATTTAGAAGCTTTTAGACCTTTTAGTGACCTAAACAGGATTTTCTGAAGTCAAATAAAATTTTTAATAATGGTTTTTGTCTAATAAAAGCATTGCAAGAAAAATATTAGTTGGCATATTTGGATTTGTAAATATATCTTTTTAAGTTGAAGGCTAAAATTCCTCTTTTAAATGTGAAAGGTGAACAAGTTTATTTTTTAAGGTTAAGTCAGGCTCACGAATAAAATACCTTGTTAATCATCAGGATGGGTATGCATAGTCATGTTCGAGTCTTAACAACCCCATGGACTGTAGCCTGCCAGGCTCATCTGTCCATGGGATTTTCCAGGCAAGAATATGGGAGTGGGTTGCCATTTCCTCCAAGGAATCTTCCCAATCCAGGAATTGAACCCACGTCTCCCACATCCCCTGCATTGGCAAGCGGATTCTTTACCATTGCACCACCTTAAGAGCACCTTGTTAATTATGTTATTAGCTAAATCAGGGGAGATTGAGTAATGGTCTAAAAACTTAAAAGTTAGATCAGTTTGATTTTTTAATTCTCTTGCAATTTTAAATGTACTTGGCCTACACTTAATTTTTTTTTTCTAAAATAGAGCGTATTTTAAAGAAAATATTTTTTATATGAATTTGTACTTCAGTATAAATAGTATTCACAAAGAGTGGTTTTCCTACATATGGCCCATTGAAAAGGTATTGGAATGGTATGTGTGTTGTAACTTTCTCTACAGAGAAGTAAATTGCTTTGATTTTTTAAAATAACTTATTTTTTCTTAGATTATTTAAAGTATGTAGTATGTGCAAATATAAATATATTATGTCTGGATTTATGTACCAAATATGTAAAACCAAAATATACCAAATTTTGGAATGCAGCTTATACATTTTGAAAAATATGTTTCATGACATCAGTTAAATACTTGGAATTTAGTACTTGAGAAACTGTGTGTAGGTTGTTTGTAAGTAGTTATTTTATCCAAACAGAGGAACAAATGTATGTTATTTTGTTGTATTTCTTAATTTAAATAAAATATTTAATTTGCTATTAAAATAATTTCATGTTTATTTTCAAAAATTCATAATTGTTATTTTAGTCAAGTAGATGTTAAGGCAGCAATGTCATTTTGAATGATTTAAGTCAGTTCATGTTGAACGTCCTCTGTGTTTCATATTACTAAATGAGCTTTATTAAAAATTTTAAATTTGTACAGTTTTATACAATGTCTATTGGGAAAAATTGCAAAATATGTGTAGTGAAGAGAAAAGTACACAGTTTTACCACCAAAGATAATAACATCTACTATTTTAGGTTATTGATGATAAGGAAAGTACAGAATACGTGTTTTCAGTCTCACCAAGTATAAAATAAGCTCTCATGCTTTATATGATTAGCTCTTCTCAGTGAACGGTGAGAACATTTACGGTCCCTGAGCTGTACCGGTTGCTGCACCTTATTCCGTTGACTGGCCTGTGATGTGCTGCAGCCGGCCCTCACTGGTTTCCAGGCCACTTCACCTTGTCACCTGTACTTCTTTCCTAGCGGGCATTGCAGTAAATTGTTTACGTTATTAGAAATGGGATTGCTGATTCCAAGTTACGTATTTTTCAGTGATTTGAAACACATTGTGAAATTCTGGCAAGAATGCCTTTTTAGAGTCTCCTCATCTTTAAATGCTGGAGAGTTCAGTGTCTAGACCTGTTCTCCCTCTTTTCAGTCCACAAGTGTTTGAATCCTGCCCAGTGGCTTTAAATGCGCTAATGACTCCCACATTTCTTTAGTTCCAGTTTCTTTGCTTAACTTGAGTTCACATATCTGACCATTTACATAGCATCACATGAAATCACGTGGCCCTCTCAACCTGTCCAGCCATAACTATTATTTTTTTTTATCATAGAAGAAAATGGTAAATACAACAAGGAGGCTGACAATGAACCTGTATGTGCATATCACCCATTATCAACAATTAGCAATTAGCAGTCTTTTTCATATGTATAGACCTCTGAATTATTTTGAAGCAGCCTTAGATCACATAATTTCATTGATATTTCGTAGTAGACTTCTTGATTTCTCAAACACCTTTTAAAAAAAATATATGTTGAGGTGTAGCTGATTAACAGTGTTTCTCAGTTTCAGGTGTATAGCAAAGTGACTCAGTTGTACATTGTCAGGAAGCATTTAACGGGGGGTTTGGATCTGTCATGAACCCTCTGTCCATTATTAATTCCTGAATATTCAGGAACTAAGAGGAGAGGCAAGACTTTCCCGGGACTGAGGAATGCATGCATTTCCTTTGTTAGTTTCATCATATGTTAGTTTCTCCATACAGTGATAAGTAACTTTACGATCCTCTTCCTTTTTATGAGCCACATGGTAAAAGTGATTCTTTACAACTCTCTCTTTGATAAGGATCGGCTTATGTTTTGTAAGTCTGGAATTTTAATCTTTACCTTTGTAAGATGGTATATATGCCCACACCATGTTGATTAAAACACCTTTGCTCCATCAGAGCTGGGGTCCCTATGTCTTTCTTTCTTTCTTTCTCTTCTTTCTCTCTCTCTTTCTGGCTGATTCTCTGGAGCGCGAAAGCCAGCTGCATAACCCAGGGAATATTAGCCTCTTTCCTTTCACTTTCTCATCATCGACTCCAGACCACCAGGTTCTGGTCCATTAAAGGACCAACAGTACATATATACTTATCCATTCTTTTTCAGATTCTTTTCCCATTTAGGTTATTAAAAAGTATTGGGCAGAGTTTCCTATGCTATACGGCAGATCTTTGTTGGTTATCTATTTCAAGTAAAGCAGTGTGTACATGCCAAACTCCCAGTCTGTCCCTCGCCTTAGCTCTTCCCTGTGGCAATCTGAAATTCATTCTCCAAGTCTGTGGGTCTGATTCTGTTTTATAAAATAAGCAAAGTAGACCTCATCCACACAGTTCCCTACTTCACTAAATTGTACGTCTACTCACCAGGCTGCTCGAGTAGCTTCACCCCTGACTCCATCTGCTCTCATAGCTTCAGTGCATGGCATATCTTGTTAGACCCAGCCTCCAAACGCATTCACCACTTAGGGTAACTGTTGGGGCCCAGCCCCACCAGGACCCAGGGGAGCCCTCAGGATGAACGGCGGCGGTGATGAGAGAGAGAGTGAGACAGAGCTCGGGGCTGAGTCTGGAGCTTATTTTCGCACGGCCCCTTTATACCCTTAACAGCATCTTTTTTGGGGGGAGGGGGAAGTGCATATTGCTTACGCACAGGGCATCTCAAAACATTACAGCAACTTGACCTTCAACAGAACCAGGATGTCACCCACATACTTTTCGTTCACAAGAGTCTTTCTTATCATTTGGCCTTCAGGCCTGCTAACATTTTATGGCTTGCACCTGGTGTGACTTAAGCAACTTCGGTAGCTGACCCTGTTTTTCTTGTGATTAATCTATTTTCTTTCTAATAGGCGTCATCTCTATGGGAACTAGATAGGATTACATTTTTGCAACAGAACAGAAATGCGAAGGACTGCAAAAGCAGCAGATATAGCACAAAACAGGCTCTTAGTCTAAAAGTTAACTACCTGCAAGAAGTCACCAGCTAATCTCTAAAGTATTTTCTATGAGGCACATTTGTGACTATTATTTGTGGAGCTTTTCTCACCCCGCGAGGGGCCTATGCTTAATAGTTTCTTTCGTTAGCGTACTGTGCTTAGGATGTTTAGAACAATCATGAGCATTTTTTTGAAATGAGAGCACACGTTTATCAAACAAGCCGGAATGCCAGCAAAAGGCTTTGAATGGAAGCATTTCTCTCATCCCTGGCCCCTTCATAGGGTACCAGCGTCCAGGAGATTTATTAATTAGGGTTTTAAGTTGATCCTCATTCAGTGAAAGAGGAGCAGGAGAGCTCTCGGCAGGCAACACAAGGATCTGCAGCAGGGCAAACAAGAACAACAGCAGAAAAGAGGGGAGGATACAGGGTGGGGTAGAGGCCGGGGCCAACCTGGAGGGTCCCTTCTATCCTGAATGGCCTTGCGTGTCAGGTTTTTTCCTCATGACCTCGTCATGGATGGGGTCCTGGACGGCCTTGCCCGTCAGGTATTTTCTTCATGACCTCCTCATGGGTGGGATCTCCCATAATGGCTCCCGGCAGGTAACCATAGTCTACACCTCACCACTTAACTACTTACAGTAACCATAGTCTACACCTCTCACCCCTTAACAATTACCGTAGTCTACCCTGTTTGACCTACTGGACTTAAGAGATGGGAATACCAGACCACCTGACCTGCCTCCTGAGAAACCTGTATGCAGGTCAGGAAGCAACAGCTAGAACTAGACGTGGAACAACATACTGGTTCCAAATAGGACAAGGAGTACGTCAAGGCTGTCTATTGTCACCCTGCTTATTTAACTTATATGCAGAGTTCATCATGAGAAATGCCAGGCTGGATGAAGCACAAGCTGGAACCAAGATTGCTGGGAGAAGCATCAATCACCTCCGATATGCAGATGACACCACTCTTATGGCAGAAAGCGAAGAACTAAAGAGCCTCTTGATGAAAGTGAAAGAGGAGAGTGAAAAAGTTGGCTTAAAACCCAACATTCAGAAAACTAAGATCTTGGCATCCGGTCCCATTACTTCATGGCAAATAGATGGGGAAATGGTGGAAATAGTGAGTTACTTTATTTTTCCGGGCTCCAAAATC